GGGACTACAAACTTATACAACTCCTAGAGAAATCAGTGTAGCAGTTTCTTGGGAAGACAGAAATTTTATATATCCAAAGTTTGTTTCATCCTAACACAGAGACATTTGTTCAACCATGTTCATTAATGCTTTATTCATAATAGCCTGAAGGGAACAACCTCAATGTCCCTCAACAGAAGAATGGATTAAGAAATTTTGGTATATTTATACAATGGAATATTACTAATCCATTAAAACTGAAATTATGAAATTTGCATGTAAATGGACAGAATAAGAGAAATATCATGCTGAGCAAGGTAGCCCATACCCAGAAAGACAAGCATGATATGTAATACTTTGTATGTAGTTATTGGTTTTTAAGCCAATGATAAGCATGTTACAATCTGTAGAACCATAGACTACTGCTTTCTTGAATTTCTTTAGATCTAACATTGACATGGGAGTCTCAGTAGCTTTTACAGAACCTTTAATATTTGTCACTTCCTGTAAGGTGGGTTACTGGATATATTACGGTTGGTTTTTCTTAAGACATAAGATTGCTACTCTTTAACTTTATAATTCAATGCTGAACCTGGTTCCCCATTAAATTCCTTAGTCTATGTTTGAATATTTTATGAACTTTTTTATGTTTATCTAAGGCCTCCATCTTGGCACTAGTCTCAATCAACTTTTTTAGAGATAAACCAAGAATTTTCAAACTGACAACAAAGGTTATCAAAATGAACCTCTCTGTCACTGGGTTCCAGGGGTTCAGTTCAATGTTTAGCTGTGGGTGTTTGCCTCTGCTTCCATCAGTTACTGGATGAAGGTTCTAGGATGGCATATTAGGTAGTCGTCAAAGTCATTATCAGGGATGGGCATTTAAAGTAGTTTCTCTTCTATTGCTTAGTTTGCCAGTTGGTGTCACCCTTGTAGATCTCTAGAAATCTCACTGGTTCCAGATCTCTCCTCAATCCTATAATGACTCCTCTATTATGGTATTTCTCATCCTGTTCTTCCCATTCTTCCCCCAAGGTAAACTTCTTGCTACTCCAAGAACTCCTCTCTCCTCCTCTTCTCCCCCTCTCTTTTTCCCAGCTCGTTCTCCCCTCTCCCCCACACCCCTCATTCCCAATCTGCTCAGTAGATCTTGCCTCATTACCCTTCCCTGGGGTACCATGCAAATCTCTCTTAGGTTCTTTCCTGTTTCCCAGACTCTCTGGCAGTGGGACTGTAGGCTGGCACTCCCCTGATCCATGTCTAAAATCCATATATGAGTGAGTACATATCATGTTTGTCTTTTTTTTTTTGACTAGGTTACCTCATTCAGGATGGTTTCAAAACAGCTTCTTTTTATAGAAAATGGAGACCACCACAGAAAACCACTGCTGGATACATGACAGATACCAAAGGTTGTGGGTAGCCCAGCCCCACTGAATACATCTACAGCACATCTCTTACATCTGTCTCACAGAATATCACACAAGACATGGTAGAAATATTGTAAGAGCCAAAAAAGTCTGCTATGAAACATTTCTCTCATACAAATGGCTACATAACAAAATCTTAACATTGGCAGTATCAATAAAATTGCTAAGTATAAATGAAGAGCTCCCAAACCTTGAATATTAACAACTATTTGAATGCAGCTACATTGCTATAAGTATCAATAGACAGAAAATAAACAGTCAGAAAATTTGTGAATCCTGCCAAGTAGACTAGACATGAAATTCCTAACCCTATGGCACATCAGCCATAGTCTGCCATGTCCATCACCCAAGAAAGGTAACCTAGAACCTATAGAGCAGCAGTTCTCATCCTGTGTGTCACAACCATCAAAGATCACACATTTCTGATAGGTTTAGGAACTGGGACATCACTCAATAGAAAAATTACACTTATGAAGTAGCAAAGTAAATAATTTTGTGGTGAGGGGGTCATCTCAACATGAAAAACTGTATCAAATGGTCACAGGATTGAGAAGGTTGAGAACCACTGCTCTATAGACTAGTGAGTCATTATCTAACCCCACAGTCTTACTTTTTACACAGTAATTTTGGTCAGCAAACAGGTGTCTACCATCCTGTAATAAAAATAAACAGCTACTGGAGATACCAAAGAGAGAAAAGAGATTATTTGATCAAATTGACATACAGACATAAGGTGAAATCAAGTGTTGCTAGAACATTACTTTCAGAACAAGGCCAATCAAGTTGATCGTCTTCACAGCATGTGGTTGACAAGTTGTCCAGCCCTTCTCTGTGTAATCCTCATACCTTGTCTTAGCAAATATCATTGAAAGCAATAAAATGAAATATCATTTTGGCATGGCGTCTGTGTGAAGCTGTCTTCTGAGGGAAGGTGCGTGTTTTTTCAACAGCCGGCAGTCATTTTGATGTGCATAGCTCATGCTTGAGAGGTCAGTTTTCCCCAAAGCAGCAGCTGTTGGCGTTTTCTAGTCGGACTGTTTGCTGTCTGCAAACAAAGTTCGCATTAAGAGGAAGATTCTAAGTGCATCTTTCCAAGAGGATTGCACTCATTTAAATTTTTCTCCTGGCCTTTTTCCACGAGGAAATTTGGGGCTGCTATAGAGACATGCTATGGAAATTTTCTCCTCCCAACAGATGCCATCATTAAGTTGAATACAAATTTCTAGATTTAAAGAGATTGGATCATGGCACACAGTGGAGTCTTGTTACTTGAGTCTGTAAACAATCGGCCCTCTTTATTATTTAATCATCAGAAGGAGTTTTTTCCTTTCAGGTAAACGAAGATGAACCATAGAATAAGAATTAGATGGCATAAAATAACCTAAAATGACAGGTCAGGACTCATCAGAAAATGTCATGTTTTCATCGTTCACAAAAAGTAACTAAAGTAAACCTTAATAGAACCTCTTCAGCATAAACAGTGAGGAGCAGAAATTAAAAGATTGTGGTTCAGAAATGCATAAGCCTTAATGAAAGTGTGTGTTGCATGCTTGATTGCTGACTAGGCTCTGTCCCCTGGTATGCTCTCTGACCTCTTTTGCAAATAAATGTCTCCCTCTGCTCCTTCAGTTTTCCATATGACATGAGTGTCAAGATTGCCTGAAAAATTATAAACAATTAAAGTGATGTGAGGGAAAATGGAATGGTCTCATTAACTATCACATATCTGCAGGTGGAAAACCCTACTTCCTCCTTTCCCTTTGCTAAAAATGTATTCAGAGGCTAAAGCAAAGATGAAATAACATGTCATACATACGAGACTAAAGTCTGTTTCAGAGTTCTCAGCAACATTAACTCATCCTTGTCTAGAACAGACAGGGGAAGCAAATCTTTGCAGTGGCTGTACTCTGGACACTGGTGGGATGGAAAACTAGTCTGAGGTCTGATGGGATGAATTAAAGTGTTCTTTGGGTTGTAATTGGAAAATAAAACAGGGAGTAAATGACTAATTATTATTCAGCAAGTATTTTCTTCATGATTTCTCCTACATTCTTTTCTCCACCTGTTAGAGATAAATAAAATGAAGTCAGAATTACAGAAGCAGTAGTAGATTCATTTTTAGGGTCTTGGTTAATTTCAGAGATAAAATTTGAATTTTAAATTACCCAGGCCAACACTTGATCTTTGTGAGGAAGCAGGCGATTTTCTTGGTCCACAAAATGGGTAGAATCAGTACTCTGGAGTGGGTATTTCAAATTTTAAATTATTTTACAAGTGAGTATGCCCTTAGTGATCAAACCAAATTGATTAACAAGTGCTTGTTCATAGATATGGCCAAGTTGAATTGAAATTACCCTCTTCCCTGCTGAGCTTCTCATCTGAGGTGGCAGTTTCTGATAAAGACTTAAGTTCCTCATTCAAAACTTATTTTTTCAGCTTGGGCTACTGCTCTTTTAAACTCGTATTTCCTAGTCTGTGGTTCTGGAAACTTCCATCATCACTAATGCCTTGCTCTATGTGTTTGAGAGAAATGAATAAGTTGCAAAAATACACACAAAAGATTTCCATCAGGGACAAGAAGCCTACTATGAAGGTATCCCATTGTCCCACTCGTACAGCATTCTCTACTGAAGTCATACATGCTTTTTGCATAGGATATAAATTAAGATGTTGATTACCTATTTAATTTTTTGTCAATCTAAATCTAATTCGGGTGGTGAAGAGGTTCCTATCTGATCCTAATTAGCCGGATGACTTTAAGTAAAGTATATAATGGCTATGTGATTTAATTTCCTCATCTCTAAAATGAACCATAGCAATACCCACCTGCCTATCTGTAGAAGGCAAAGACATCATTAACGTGAAAATGCTTTGTGGAATTAATAGCACTTGTAATGGTAGGATGAGGGTGATGAAACCAATGACTAATGCAACATGACTACTTGGGTTCTGTGGTTGATCAGATATTCAGTAGGACTGCCAGTCTCAGTATAATACCTTTTATTTCTCTAACAGTGTGCTGCTTTTATCACTCCCTGAGTCATATTTGACTCACAGCTAGATTTCATATGTTGCTTCCTGGTTGTTAGGGGCTAGAATCTTCCTTCACTATTTGATTTCTGTGATCTTCCAATCCCCACCTCCACCCCTGGGAATTCAGTGTGAAATGGTCATCTGCTGTAGCCTCAGGAAAGTCCAAGAAGTACAGACTAGTTCCCATGGATACACACAGGCCTTTTCTGCTGCTATGTTTGCGTTTCTCTTTGAACAAACAATTACCAAGGATTGACAGGATGAATGCTAGCCTCCTCCTCCTAAGTCTTCCACAAAGGATGCTGATGTAAGAAATGACATAGAGACAGGATTTGGTTGCACTATGCTTTGAAAAGAGGCTGAGTCACCTATTTGTATTTATTGAAGTGACTGAAAGTACAAGCAAAAGTGCCAGCCATTTATGAGTCAGTCATGCTCACTCATAGGAGTAAAATCTCTGGAAACAGGAATGACCTGTGACGTCAAACAACCCATGAGCAAAAAGAATGTTGTGTCATGAGTCTACAGTGTAAGAACAAAGAGGAAATTGCTCAGCCCTGAAGACACATATTTTCCGTTTTTATTTTTTAACACATGTGACATACTAATAGCTACTCAATCAAATTCTTACTGTTGTAAAGTGTCCGGCATCTGCATAAAGGTACAGCCTTTTCCCCAAGTCACTTATGAATTTAGTTTTTCTTTCACAAATAAATTCTTGATTTCAGAAGTAGAAGTTTCTGATGAAATCATCTTTTCTCCAAAAGCAGTTTTCGAAATTCGTGTGTCAACAGTCTGACTTCAGAGTGGACTTGGGCACCTCTTCCATGTTTCTGTAGTTTTGAGGTTGACAAGATGCTGGGAGCTCAGCAACTGCCTTTAGAATTCTTGGTATAGTGCTCTCCCACATAATTTTGGAACTTGAACAATTTGTTAAAGATTGTCACTGTGGAAATCAGCAACACATCTGAAGGAAAACAAAATTTTTAACTTCTTACACATTAAAAGGAAATATTTCTCTGATATATTTCTACTGAGAAAGCCTTTAATTAGCACTTAACCCCTTAAAATTTAACCAAGAACTACAAGGAGTTTCTCACTTTAGATTCTTGATATATATTCAATGTTTTCTTTTTTACTTATTTTCTTTATTTTCCCCCACTCTTATTAATAACTACCAGCTTCTATAACAGAAAATGATGCCTACCTCCCCTGCTCCTTGCCAGAACTTTTTATTTTTCACTATGAAAGATTCCTTGCTTTAAAAGTCATTAGAATTAAAATTTATAGTCTCTAGCATGATTTTCCTTCTTGCTGACTTTGCAGTGTTAGCCATGCTAAAGGAACAAATTCACAAATGTAGAAACTTGCTTGAATTGGTCCTCATTTGCTTACAGATAACTAATTGCTTTGCTATCTCTTGTGGAGTAGAACCTACTACCACTGCAACTTGGTAGTGCAATATGTTTATCATGTGCAGCACAGGGGAAGGGTTGGCTAGTCTTGGTAGGAGGTCTCAGTAGGCAGCAGTCTCAGGCTGTAAACTTCCTGAAGGAGGAAGCTGGAGTAGGAAGTAGCATTTGCTAATTTTTGTACCTACTGGTCAATAGTTGTAAATTTAGCTACAAGACAGTGGATAATAATTCTGAACTATTCAACAAACAAAACACTTCAAGATGTCTTCAGTTTAGCTTTATACATGAAACATCTTTACAGAATGCACAATACCTTTTAGCTAAATTTCTTTGAGTTTGTTCCAAGCATTATTAACCTGGCTTCTGATTTCTTTTCTCTCTGTGAAGCCGGATGCTATCTGCATCAATATTTCTTTCTTTCTGGTTGTTTTCAAAATGTTTTTACTCATCTTGGAATTTTTAGATACTTTGTCACTGTAATCATGACATTTTCCGTACTCCAATTTCATCTGATTGTTGATTTTATGTCTGCTTTTCAGAAAATTCTTATTCATTAATTCTTCAAAAAGTGTATATGGCATATTTTTTTCAATCCTCTCATGGTTGGATTCTAGGTAATGCATGTTTCACCTTCCTTTGTATAATGTCACAATTTATATTTTTCATATTGTGTCACAATTTATATTTTTCATATTGTGATCTCACTGCTTAAATTTGACTATTTTCTTCTGTACTACTTTTCAAATTATGAATTCTTCTCTTCAGCTGTGTTGAATTGGCCATTAAATCCATCCATTGATTTTGCAATAATGTGGTGATATTTTGTTTATGATCTAACAAAAAAGCTTGCTTGAAGATCGAAGTGCATAGCTAGCCACAACCATAGAGGCCAGGAAATGGTGGTACAAACCTTAAATCCCAGCACTCAAAAGCAGAGGCAGATGGATTTCTGAGTTCAAGGCCACCCTGGACTACATGAGAGTTAATCCATCTAAAAGAGAAACAGGGCTCATGCCTTTGAAACTAGCATTTGGGATCACATGCCTTTAATCCCAGCACTAGGGAGATAGACACAGGAATGGTATGGGTTGGTGGTGAGAGGAATGGAGGAGACAGGAACTCACTGCATTCTGAGGTTTGGTGAAAGGCAGTGGAGTCTGAGTAGCAGTGCAATTGGAAGCAGTCTGAGGTTAGGTGGATCAACCCTTCCATCTGAATGCTGGTAGAGATGAGAATTCTCTAGTGGCTGGATGCTTTATTTTCTGATCTTCATCTTTAACTGCAGTATCTGTCTCTGGGTTTCTTATTATTAAGACCAACTAGAATTCATGCTACACAATACAGGTAATTAAATCTTTCTATCTAATAATTCGCATTTGAGTCTGCTAAATATGAATCTTATCTTCTTTTAACTTAGTAAACACTTACTATTAATATTGTCTATGTCTATTATTTCTTTGGGTTTCATTCTTTCATTGATTATGTTTTGTGAGTGCTGTTTATATGAATTTGTGTTCCCAAATCAGATTTTCTTACATCTTTTCCTGATTATTTTCTTTTCTAATCACTTACAGAAATAATTTGAGATCATAGAAGGTATCTTTTCCCAGAGAGAAATTAATTACCTTTGCTTCTGTTGAGAAGTAACAGGCATTAATTCTCTGATATGACCTTTACACAAGTTCAGAGGCAGATCATCAATTCATCTTTCCTCCTAATATGAGCCAGCAAAGAGTCTTTCTGCCTCCAACACTGGGTACCAGTACCCATCTCTTCAGCATGAGAAAGGGAGAAGGGTTGCTCAGCCTCTCATGCTTGGCCACTGTTTAATACTAACAAGTAGCAACCTGAGTTTGCACTTTTAAGAAGACAATGAATGTAAGTGCCAAAACTTCTTTACTACACCCTAATCTTAAGTGAGACCTGAATCCTATGTTTACTTACTTGCTTTCTTTAAAGATATACTTTAAATACTGTGAGCAATGTATAAAATTGTCCTTGAAACAAAACTGGCTTCAAACTGCTTACTCACTTTCTAAGGTCTAGTTAAACTTAATTGTCTCTACAAGGGTCTTTCTGGCCCTCCCTCTGCAAGGCAGAGAAAAATTGTTTTTCAACTAGGTACCCAGAGCTGCCATTTTAAACTAGAGGTCAGAGAATTTCTGTCTCCATGGTTATATAGCTAAATCTTTATAAGAGAAAACAAATTTAGTTTTGTTATATCCTTGTAAAAATTGTTCCCTGATTTGCACTGTCAGTACTTTGTAAACATCCATGCCCTAAGAGTCCTACTAAATAAAAAGGTATAGATGAAAACCTCATTTTAATAACAATTCAACATGTCAAACTTATATCATAAGCAAAGCATTTTAAGCCATTTTAAATTTGTTTCAAGACCAACATTGTTTTGCCGTATGAGTGAAAAATCATACACAAAGGAAAACTTATTCAGAAGGTTATGAGTAATATATGTAGATATTTCAAAATAAAGAAAAAAGACATTTGCTTTAGATGTAGAAGGGGCAGAAATTCATTATAGATGCATTATATTCCCACACACATGCAAACATGCATGCACACACAAATAACAACACATACAAATACTTGCAAAAATGAAATAAGTAAAAGAATAGGCAGAAAAACTTGAAACTATACATTGAAGTAGGTTACTTGATAAATTATCATGATACAAAGATAGATGATAGATAATAGACAGATAGATAGATGATATATATTTACAGGATAGATGGATGACAGAGAGATATATATTAGGTTTTCTATTATAACCACAAGACAATCTCTTACTCTTTAACATGAATTCTTTTGAATCCATTCTCTCCTTCAGCTCTATTATTCAATTCCTATCATTTAAAGTTCAGGAAATTCATGAATATTCTTCAGTTATACATGTTCATGGAAATTGCCTATTTTGAATAAAAAGAAACATTACTGTACAGAAAGGTACTCTACATACAATAAAAAGAGAAATTTAAAAACTAAGTCAGCCACAAACCCTTTATCAACAGTGGTGTACTACCTGCAAGATGTGCTCGGCCAATAGTGTCACAAACCTTGTGGGAGTGATCAACCAATAACTAGTTTGAATTAAAGTTCATTTAATGGAATGGAGTCCATATCTGATACATCTTGAGTGACCAAGAACCTGAGAGTAGATATCCCAGCATTATTTTAAGCAATCAACAGAGAAGCTACCTCCTGTAGCAAATACACAGAACAAATATAGAGACCCAGCAAGACATTACTCAGAGAGAGAGAGAGAGAGAGAGAGAGAGAGAGAGAGAGAGAGAGAGAGAGAGAGAGAGAGAGAGAGAACTTGGAGCACTCAGCCCTAAACTGTATTGGATATCCCCATTAAATGCCTCCCCTCAGAGCTCAGGGAAATCTGCATAAGAGTAAGCAGAAAGACTGTAAGAAAATCCATCAATGTAAGCCACCATATAAACAAACTTAGAAAGAAAAGTCACATGATATCTCACTAGATGCTGAAAAAAAACCTTGACAAAATACAACACCCCTTCAAGATAAAGGACTTGGAGAGATTGGGGATAACAGGAACATAATACAGGCAATATACAGCAAAAAAAAACCTTGACAAAATACAACACCCCTTCAAGATACAGGACTTGGAGAGATTGGGGATAACAGGAAGATAATAAAGGCAATATACAGCAAACTCAACATGATTCCTCTAAATTCAGGAACAAGACAAAGCTGTCCACTCTCTCTATATCTCTTCAATATTGTACTTGAAGTTCTAGCTAGAGCAGTAAGACAACAAAAGGAGATCAACAAATTGAAAAAGAAATAGTCTTTTTACTATTTACTATTTACAGATGATATGATAGTTTACATAAGTAACCAGAAAAACTCTACTAGGGAACTCCTAGAGCTGATAGACACTTTCAGCTAAGTGTCAGGATACAAGATCAATTTAAAAAATCAGTATCCCTACTATATATAGAAGATAAATGGTCTGAGAAAGAAATCAGAGAAACATCAACCTTTACAATTGCCACAAACAACATAAAATTCCTTGGGGTAATGCTAACCAAACAAGTGAAAGACCTGTATAGCAAGAACTTTCCGTCTATAAATAAAGAAATAAAGAAGATACCAGAAAATTGAAAGATCTCCCATGCTCTTGAATAGGTAACATCAACATAGTAAAAATGACAATCTTGCCAAAATCAATCTAAAATTCAGTGCAATCCCCGTTAAATCCCAGCACAATTCCTCACAGACCTTGAAAGAACACTCCTTCACTGCTGGTGGGAGTGCAAATTCATACAGCCATTTTGGAAATCAGTGTGGCTGTTCCTCAGGAAAATGTGAATCAGTCTAGCTCAAGATCCAAAAATTCCACTTTTAAGCATATACCCAAAAGTTGCACATTCATACAACAAAGATATGTGGTCAACCATGTTCATAGCAGCATTATTTGTAATAGCCAGAACCTGGAAGCAACTAGATGGCCCTCAACTGAAGAATGGATAGAGAAAAGGCCTGGAAACTGGGCGGGAGGAGGTGCAAAAGCAGATACAAGTTAGGAAAAGGAATTGTTAATACTAAGAAAAGCAGGTAGGGTTAGCAAAAAAAAAAAAAAAAAAAAAAAAGACTGTAACAGCCAGAGATCATGGAGGACACCAGACACAGCATGCATAGGTACTGCACAAGTCTGCACTAGGTCTTCTGGACTATGGCTCCGGTCTAATGCTTCCTGAGTGTGTGAAAAAGTGGGTCTCTGTGCCTTCTCTTGGGCCCTTTTTCTTTTGTTTGCTAGCTTTGTCCAGCTTCAATGGGATAGGTTTGGTTTTGTTTTATTGTATTTTATTTTGTCATTTTTTAAAAAAAATGAATGAATGAGTGAATGAAAACCTAGCTACTGAAGTAAATGTTAACAACTGAACTGTCATTTATATCTTCTAAGAGATAAAATAATCAGTTTTCAGTTTGTTGTTTTATTTTCAACCTACACAAACAGAACCTAAATGCATCTTGACAGGGAAAACAAAAAGCTCCCCTATCACAGGAAACACCAGATACTGTCTTGCCATGCAAAAGTTTGCCTTCATCCACCAGGGTCCATATTTGAACAAAAGAGGGAGAACAAATAGTCTTTAGCCAGATGGATGGAGGATACATGGGATGGACTAATGTAACTGACCAATCCCAACATAACAACACAGACTTCAGCATTATCAAATATTCTTTAAAGGGTTCTGATAATGGAAACTACAGGTGCACTAAAAATAAGAAGGGAGGGAAAAATTCACTAATCACTTCAATTGAGTTTAACATACCAAGAGTAACACTGTCTCTAACTAATAATGTGGAATATAAACTAAAAGAGAAGGAGAAAAGTCCTTCTGTGTCAGAGGAGATCTCTCTATTCCCAATATCTTCAAAAGAAATTTATATGGAACAGGGGTTTCTTATGAAAATTGTACAAGGATAACAGAGGACAAAATGGACCATGCCCCTACTAATGTTTTAAAGACTGTATCTGATGATCCGTTGATAATATCTTTTTCCTGTCTAAGTTTTGATTGCACAAATGTCCCTTCTTATTGTAATTCCACTTCTTATCACAACTTTCCCTGTGGTAAACAATTGCCCTTAGGATGAACTTTTTTCTGTGAAAACAGTACTTATTTTGCACACCCAGTAGGATATAAGGGTTTATGTGGGACAGGATGTGTTACACCTATTTTACTCAGCAAATCTTTACAATCTGTTAATAGAGTTACAAGAGCACTTTCTGAAAATTCCATGATTCCTTCCATCTATTAGACTCCACTATAGTTGCTGCTCCTGCAGCCTTTCTGTTACCTGTCCCAGGACTTGCTGAACTACAAAGAAAGGCTTCTAAAATAGCCTGCCTAACTTCAAAAACCACTAATATTACAGCAAAAATATTAGCAGAAATTAAGAAATGGGAGAACTGACAACAACTGTTCTTCAAAATAGAGCTACAATAGACTGTTACTTAAACAAAATCTTGGTAGTCAGCAATTTACTGGAATGTGCTGGTTTTGTCTTTTGGTTGTTGTTGTTGTTGTTTTGTTTTGTTTTTTTGAGACAGGGTTTCTCTGTATAGGTTTGTAGACGAAGGTGGCCTCGAACTCACAGAGATGCGCCTGTCTCTGCCTCTGGAGTGCTGGGATTAAAGGTGTGTACCACCAACGCCCAACTCCAGTTTGGCATTCTTAGTAGCTAGTGGCAGCTCCATCCCTGAAGGTGCCAGCAGCCCAAGTCCCTGCTTAAAGCACTCAGCTTTTGGCCACGGTGGACACATGCCCATCACCATCACACTATATAAATCTCCCTGCTTTAGCTCAAGTGTGCAGCTTCTATGGCCTCCATGTCTGGGACTGGAGGACCTGCACGGGAGTTACTTTGCTCAAATAAACTTGTTTTTGAACTTAAAAAAAAAAACAACCAGTTTTCTCCATTGAAATTATACTGGTATATCAACCACTTTCAGGGAAAGTTTCCTATTAAGGAGTAAGGACACCACAGTAGTGTGTATCTGTGTGTGTGTGTGTGTGTGTGTGTGTGTGTGTGTGTGTACTTTTATTTGGTTACAGTTTGATGCGGTTTGATTTTTTTTGTTTGTTTTGTTTGGGGGTGGTAGTGTTTATTTTATTTTCATGGTTTGCGGAGCTTCTGTTGTTGTATTAGGTTGTTTCTGTTTTTCGAGAAAGAAGTTAACGTTGGATGGGTAGGGAGTGCCAAAGATCTGAAAAGACTTCAAGGAGGGGAGGAATACCATCAAAATATATTTAAATTTTAAAATTATGCTTTATAATTTAAAAAGAAGAAGTCTTTATCTAGGTATCCCGGGTTATATACGTAGTCATATCTAAGATATCATGAGGCAAAAAGTATGTAAACTTAGATAAATTTATCACAGGACCACATTCTCATAAATGCCATGGCCCACCGTATGGTTAACTAAGAACATGTTTTAAAGAAAGACAGGACTGTGTCTCTGATACTCTGGATTCATGTATAACTTAGAAAGACATTAGAACTCCCAAGGCAATGCTGGTGTGCTTTTCAATCATCCTCCCCATCTGTGATATTGAACTTGAACAAATGCCCCCTGGAGTAAAGCATTTCATTTTCTTCTATCCTTTACACCTGCTCATGTATGTGTTACTGTTGCCAGATATGAAAAAGAAACAAGTGCAGAAGAAGGCAGAGGGTGGTGTCTTTGTGTAAGGTGTGCATGTACATGTCTGTGCTAGTACCATAAGTGGAGTGTGCATATGGGTGAGGGAGAAGGGATGTGAAGTTACAATGTGCATAAAGCTAGAGCTTTAACTTCAGTAGTCAAATTTAACAATTTGAAAACATCAGAGAAAGTAAATAAGTAAAAATAGTACACTTTAAAAATCCCAAAAACCAGACTTTCAATTTACACATATATCTAATTAGCTAAGTCTCATGGGCTGATCTAAATTACCCCATGGCCCACAAGCAAACAAAGGAAAGAGTATAAATGACCACCACCTACTGATAGAATATGAGTGGGAGTTTCTGAAGGAAAACTTGGTCTGTGGTGAAGCTTTGTCTATTGACATTACTGTGTCTTAAGAAATAAACTCCACAGGACTAAAACATAGATGGGGTAGATGGTTCTTCTTGCTTCCATTGCTATGACATTGACCTCAGAAATGGGTCTGTGTCAAACAGAAAATTAGGTCATTTTTTGCTTGTTTCTTCATGCTTTGAGTCTGCTTGTAGATTATTTAGGCTCAGACCTCCCTATTCTCCCAAACTAACCACTTACATCCTTAACTCTTCTAAGTCACTTAACATTTCAAAATCACCATGTGAGTCATTGGTGTTAACAGAGTTAAATAAGCCAACAATGTGGAGTAGTTCTCTTCCATTTTAA